GTGTATATACCACGAAAATATCGTATTCCTTGCAAATACAGATCGGACGTCGTGCTACTATGTTTCTCCATAACAAATCCTGTATCCCTGCGGAACTGCAAGGCGATGTGGTATCCGGAAATACGACGATTCTGCCCGCAGACACCGGTGTTGTTAGTGGGCTGCAAGAACGATCTACGTTACATGTACCGAGATGAGACGTATCTGAGCTATTTCCGTGACCGGAGTCCGTTCGTGAGGTACATTATCGCTCTCCAACTATAGCCAGCCTTCTTCTCATCTACATTTAGATGCAACACTCTCTTCTCCCGGATCGATTTTTTCCATCCTATATTGGAACTCGTTCAAATGCATCGATGCTTCCTCAATGACGACCTCTTCCGCGAAGTGTGTCAAAGTATTGATTCCACGAATGCTCCGCGACCTTTTGCCGATCGCACGACGAGACTTTGCGTCTCTTGTCATATAGAAATTATCCCTTTTCCGGTAACTCGAGGTCTATCGAGTAGGTTAACGAGTTCTGTTCGACTATTAGCAGACCAAGATGAGAACGATCGGCAGTAGAGTAGATCTCGAGTAGCAGAGCTCCATTTATGGTTTTCTCGATTAAATAGGTAGATTATTAGATACTATCTGAGTAATTCTTTCTTGATATGACCCGAGTGTCATACTGTTGATCAAAAATTTCGAATCACTATGTGCCTATGTATAATTATAAATCAGAATTACATACAGAAAAGTATGTTTTTATTTTTTTTCTTTTTTTTTTGTGAAGTGAAAATTTTTTGTGTAAATATCGGCCAGTAAGAGATTATAAGTTGAGAAAAACTGGTTCATACGATCAAGCTAATATGGGATTGACATCTTTCCATGACCTAGAAAATAGAATAGAATGTGTCAAACTTTTAACAGAATTGTGAATTCACAAGTGAAGAAATTACTTACTACGTTTAGATATTTAATCGATGAAACACCGCTTCTGCATTAAACTTTTGCATCTGTATTGCTTGAAAACAGTTTAGCGAAGATTATTTTATTTCGATATGCCACGCGATATGGGACGGGATTGACCTGAGCCTTGACATATCGGAGGCTCCCGAGGGATTTTCAAAGTTCATCGCGACTTTCATTCTGCTTATAATCTTATTTTATAAAGCATGTGTTCTGTTAACATTAAAGATAATGTTCTTCGAAATATTGTTCAATTCAATTACTTAAAATATTTTGCATTTTTTTTTTTCTTCTTCTTTTCTTCTTCTTTTTATATACATTACTCAGGGCCACGAGGAAGAGCGATCTGGTAATGCCTGATCAAGCTCGAGCTGTTGCACGTGAACTTGGTGTTTGCTACTACGAGACCAGCGTCTTCACGTATTACGGTGTTAACGAAGTTTTCGAGAACTCGATACGCGCTGCCTTAATCGCGCGACGCCAGCAACGATTCTGGATGACGAACTTGAAGAGAGTGCAGAGGCCTCTGCTTCAGGTACATTCTCTACCTGTTTAACAGAAGGTTAATTTACAGAGACAGAGCTTTTCTTTTTTTTTTTTATCAATGAATATTCGAATTGAATGAAATATATTTTAGGCACCGTTTTGCCCACCAAAACCTGTCCCGCCGGAAGTGTGTCTGGCGGCGAGCACCTACGAGGAGAACATGAAAACGTTGTGGACGAAGCCAGTTCACACGGACGTAACTCTGATAGCCGGGAACTGCACGTTCTCCGCGCATAGGTGTCTTTTAGCCGCTGCATCGCCCGCGTTTCATCGACTATTCTCCATGGAACTCGTTCAAGAACAGACACCTCGAAGCTCCAGCGAATCCAGCATGGTATACTCTCTCCGTTTCTTATCACATCGCTTCCATTTTCATTGCCTTATTCCTTCTGCGAATATGTATGCTTGAACTGTTTGTCAAGGTGAGCACGTTCGGCGAAGCAACGGTCGGCGACTTTAATGACGACACCGAGTGCCTGATTCGTATCGATCAATCAAAACCTGCAAAGTGAGTCCATCCAGCAAATTCTATCCACATGAAAGCATACCTACAATTGTTGTCACATCGTACAATTTTCAAATCTGTTATTCGTTTGAAGTGATATTCAAAAAAGACGATCAGGAAAGGCGTAACAGAGTCGTACTCATTCGAGAAAGGATTGTTTACAATTCTGAACGATTCCTACAGCTTTACAAAATTGCAACAACAATACCCGTTGTGTTACAGGGTTTGGGAACAACTGAAGCGACGTTCGAGCTTTCAAGTACTGCCCACGATGGAGAATCAAAAGAAACCGCCTGGAACTACCAGAGATCTCAATCATCCTGCCTTCCAGAACATCCGTGTATGCTTGGTAAGCTTTGTGAAAGATCTGAAAACAATAACAACAACAACAATAATAATAATGATAATAATAATAATAATGATGATGATAGTGATAATGATAATGATGATAATAATGATGATATTGATAATGATAATAATGATGATAATAATGATAATGATAACAATGATGATGATAATGATAATGATAATAATGATGATAATAATAATGATAGTGATAGTGATAATGATAATGATGATGATAATTATGATAATAATGATGATAATGATGATTATAATAATGATAACAATGATGATGATGATGATAATGATGATAATAATAATGATAGTGATAGTGATAATGATGATGATAATTATGATAATAATGATGATAATGATAATGATGATATTGATAATGAT